CCAGAGTTTCTGAGTATAATATATGGTATTATGTAGGAGCTTGGTTTTAACAGATGCTTGAAGCTGTAGGACCAGTCCAAAAGCAGGGATAACAATTGTCTTTGGTGTGATTGCAGAGCATAAATCTTCATTCTTCATGATGAATTTATTCTATATGATTCAAACACCAAACCTTCTGATGCAGTCTAAAATTTTATCTAAAAATGTATAATACAAGTTTTTTTGCCTATATGTACAAATAGATATAGGTTGATGAGGTATAGCACTTTCACAGAATAGTTGACAGAGGTCAGTCACTTCTTCTTCCATTCCTTCAATCTGAGGGAAGCAGAGAACAAGAAGTTTTGACACCACACATGGTTCTGTGGGAGATGTGGGCTAGGAATAACTACAAACAGATATTGATGGAGAAAAATATAACCCTTGATTTGGCCTGGCAAACTTGCTGTTGCTTCTGCTTTTTCCTTTCTCTGTCACTGTGCTGTATTTGAACGAAGTCTCTCCCTGTCTTTCTATAATTTTCTCATTCATTTCTGTTCCTCTATTATTCAATCTTTGTCATTTATGAGCAGTAATGGAATTTATAATCCAGGGCACAAAAAGTGTCTGATTCCTTTCTTTTTTGCAAGATTGTTGATATTTAACAAGGTTTGACAGGCTGGTTTTTTTTTTTAACCAAACAATTGTCTGGACACAGAGAATGGATGACTGGAGGCTAGTCCATGGAAGAGCAAAAGAAGGACAGCTGACCAACCTCATCTTTGCGCAGGAATTTTTCTACTAATGGGAACTCTTTATTTCAGAATGGAATAGCAGAAAAACATCAGACATTGATAACTCCTTGTTCTTTGTTGCATTCAAAGGGCATACGTGCCACTGAGCTTATTATTTACAGCTCTTAGATGGAGGCATTTCTGTTAACCAGCTTTCAGCAGCCTTGCAGTAACTATAACTGTTATTCCTTTCATTGTCCTAGTTCAGGGGTGTCAAACTGCTGGCCTATGGGCCAGACATGTCATCTGGAAGTTGCGCCCACCCCATTATCGGCAATGGCAAAACCGTCCCAATACGTTGCGTGACATCATGTGACGTCATGAGTGTTTCTGCTCTGGAGAACTCTGGGGATACATTATGTTCTTATGTTTACGCAAATCAGTAATAATTATATTATTATAGTATGTATGTAATGAATTCTGTCTTCAGAATCCTTATTCTTCACAATTTTTACAGCAACCTTATAATCCAAAGGAAGATCTGAATCAGCAATAACTTTCTGTATCTTTCTATGCTTTCTGTATCATAGGATAATTAATTTGCTGCACGAGTTTTTAATAAGCTCAAAACTGATCTATCCAATTGAACTGTGGTACACACTGTAGAAACATAATTTTATCTAACAATGTCTGAATTGCTTAACATTGTCCTTTTGCTGATCTTGGAGAAACTTGTGATTAACTGATTTCTATGCTACTCAATTAATGCAGAAGTTTATTTACATATTAATTCATAATTTAATGTCTAGTTCTGAAAGTAGGGAGAATGCTTGGGCCCAGTTCTGAAATTTCTCTTTGAGCCAAAATCCATTTCTCTTTATCCTCAAAAGGTACACACTCTATGTGAGTTGCAACTTTTTAGTATCAATATTATTTCTACTTAAATCCCATTTTTTTGTAGAAAAAAGGTGCAAATGAGCACTAATGAGTTTATCTAGTTTGTGTAATGAAACATCTACAAGAAAACAACCAAGCTCGGAGAGCCATCAAGGACCCCTCATTTCAACCCTGAGCTACAAATATTCTCCTTTATTAGCCAAGTGGTAGTTAATAATACAAAAGTGCTCAAAGAAAAAAAAACTTTTCATTATACTTTTGCAAATGCTGAAATTTGCAAAAACTTGAATATTGCTAAATTACAGGTAAGTTGCTAAATTACAGGCTACAAGGAATAGAATAAAGTGATATTAAAACCTAGTATTTCGGTCTCAGAATCTGGCTCATCTTATATAGTGTAACCACAGTAACACCTCTGCTTTTTATGCTAATAAACTGGGGTGGAATCCTCCATGTTCTTTTGAAACCATTAGTCAAAAGATGCTGCACATTCTTCACAGTTTAAAGCAGTGGTTCTTAACCTTTTTGAACGCCCCCCTCCCCCAACAAAACCTCTCAATCACAACATAGGAAATAATTCTTCAATTTATGCAAACACTTTGTTTTCTTTAAAATTGTCATCAGGATATATCGATGCAAATAATTTATTTCCAGTCTTTTTCCCATATCTCCCATATTCTGGCCAATGGCGTGCCACTGTATGGGTAGAGGCTGCTGTGCAACGCGCATGAAGATAAGCGATGAGTCTTCACATATGTACAGCATTCTGTACTGAAGCTAGCTGGAGGAACATTTGAAAACACAGTTCAATCCACTAATAGCAAGCAATCTGATGTTTTTATACGACAGATATACAGCAATTCACTGTACGAAAGTCTCAAAAGTGTCCCCAAAACTTCTTATTCCATCACCCCCATATCACCCTCTTTTCATTCCTTCACCCCCGCGTCACCCCTTGTCGTTCCATCGCCCCTCTGAAAAATAAAATCACTCCCTGGGGGGCAATATCGCCCAAGTTATGAACCACTGGTTTAAAGGATTGTCTTAAATAAAATTGATTTGTCTTTAAAAATCCCTTTCACTAAATGACAACTACAATTCAGTTTTATGTTCAATTTTACGAGAGGGTTATAATACAAGAAGTGTGATTTGACGTTCATTTATAGTATTGTATAACAGACATGTGACTGAGAAGAATCTTTCAACGAATATCAGTAATACAACCCTGTATTTTACTTGTTTCCTGGAACGAAACAAGGTGGTTGCAAGGTTGATGACGTAGGTGCATACGGTAGAAATAATTGTTTTTGTAACGCATCTTAGAATCTCCAGCGTACGTACAGGAACTGCGAAAATGGTTCTGACTGTAAAAAGAAATGGTATAGAAAGCGAACGAAGACAAAGGTACAGAAAGCGTTAATTTCGTCTATTCTCAAATCCGTGCCTTTGAGGAAGAGACAGAATCTCAGTTCCTCCTAGTTAAGAGAATCAATTCGGAAGTTCAACAACATTTACAATTCTACTTTTTATACGTTTGTGCTGCGGACAAATGGCTAATTTCTACACCAGACTCGCTTTGTCTCCATTCCTACCCAGAATGCATAGCGCAATTCAGATGAAGATGAGTGACCAATTAGAAGAAATTTGAAAGCCGAGCCGACCAATCGGAAGGAAATAAGTAGGCGGTGACAGACGATTTGAACTGGAGGTGGGAAAAAGTCGAGGTGTGTTTCAATAAGTGGTTGAGGGCGGGAAGAGAGCGGTATTTCCTTGAAAATGGGGTGGCTGATTTGTTTGGCAAGGGAGCGATTGAGCGTCCTATGGGTCTGCTCCCCTTTATAAGTGGACTAGTTACACAGTGGGAGACGCTGTTCGCAGAGGTCGTTGGACCTTGTGGTTAATCCTTTCTGGATCCTTCACTATCCAATAGCCGTGAGGTCGAAGATAGCAAAATCCGGTGAAGTTTAGTGACCGTCTAGATTTCGGTTGCCATTTCCAGATCTCGTCGGCCGCCGAAACAGTTCACGGACTGCTTTATGCTTACAAGTACTTAGTTCTTGTTGAGGGTCCGGGTCGGTACCGAAACTAGCTGTTCTCGTTGGGGAAAGCGGGTGGCGGTTCAGAACAGACAAACTTGAAGAAATATCTTGGGAGTAAGGCGTGCTTAATATTTAATATTAATATTATAATTAATAATTAACATGTTTCAAGTGTTCAAAATCTGTCAGATCTACCTATGAAATAAAGGGAGTGTATGTATGCTTTTTAGTAGACCTTAACGGTTACGGATGGTCATAGAGAAAACCTGTCCCTAGGATCGCTAGTAGGTCGAAAACGACTTTGATCGCATATAATCGAATGCTATTTATTCTTGGTCGGGTTGCCCACAAGTTCAAAGTTAATTTGAAAAAGGGTGTTGGTGCCTACTACGATAGACTTCCATGCCTGGCTGCCCTTCAGTTCTGTCGTAACGCAATTAGGCCAACAATCTGAAGGGCAAAATGTTGGGACAGGCTGTTTCTTTACATTCCTAATTCTCCACTGTTAATAAAAAATGTTATAAAGAGAGAAAAATATTACAAAGCAAGTTAGGAAATTATTTTGGGGCAGCAACATACTTTTTTTGTATTTCTATCACTTTCTTGAGGCTACTATTTCTTACAATAGCAAAGAGTGGAACACATTAGGATGAAAAAAATATGGCATCTCTACATTCTTTTTCTTACATAGCTTGTTTAAAAAGTGTTGCTATTATAATTTTGCATTACATAACGCTATTTTCCTAAGCTTTTGTTTTTGTTCTAATTCCGGTCTGTCCCTTAAGTTTAAAATTGATAAGGTGATGGGAATTAGGACCACTAGGAAATAGCTTGATGTAAATGGCCTGAATCTTTAAGGTGAATGTGAAGAAACTCCTTACTACAAAGCCATCAGAAGTGATTGCTCTTTTCAGAAAAGACAGCTCTTATTAAAACCCACATTTATAATCTTGCAACAAATGAATGCATTGATTAGCCAGTACAATCAATCAGTGAATGTCTTTTGCCCTTAATCCCTTGTGGCTGAGCTGAGTTGTAAATTTGTTGCCTTAGCAGCATTAAAGCAAGCAAATTTATTGTCTTTTCTCTTGGGCATTGAACTTCAAGAAGGTTGTTGAGACTTTGGAAAGAATTCTGAGGAAAGCTACATGAGTGGATATTTATTCTCTATCTATCTATCTATCTATCTATCTATCTATTTGTGCTGAACTGTACTAGGATTTCAATAGTCTGATATATTCTATGCCCAGTTGGAGAGACCTTTCAAGAGCTCTTCAGTTTCTCAGGTTTAAGAAAGATATGAATCTGATACTGCATGTATCAACGTGTTCCCATCTTGTCCTTGACACAGCATTCTCTAATAATGATGCTCATACCACCCTCTGAAGGAGGCAATGTGACAGTTGTGGTCCGAGTGCGCCCACAGATTCCAATGGAGCAAGAAGGAAACCGCCAAAGTACAGTGCAGGTGCTGAGTGACAACATGCTGGTGTTTGACCCTAAAAAAATCAAACCTGCTGGGCTTCCAAATTCATGAGTCTGTCTCCCAGAAGAAAGGCAAGAATTTGAAGTTTATTTTTGACCCGGTTTTTGGAGAAATGGCTACCCAAGCAGAAGTTTTTGAGAATACAACTAAAGAGATCCTGAATGGTGTGCTGAGTGGCCACAATTGCTCTGGTAAGGAATTTATTTTCCTGGCCTGACAATATGACAGCAGCATTGCAAAAAACAGTATGTTGCCTAACATTAAAAAATATAAGGAAAAGGAGAATAACATTCCGCTTTCACTCATTGAACTAAATGTTAAGCTTCCATTAATCATATCAAATTGTGTCAGTCTGGTTCTTTGGCCTTGCTGTCAGTAAATGATGGGGATTTTAATCTAACATAGGCAAGATATAAATCTAGTAAAAATGCAGTGTCAGTTGGTTTCAATTTAATATTGAAAATATCAGCCAATTCTATTTCCAGACTCTTCTCAATACCGGGCAAAGATAATTTTTGTAATATTTATAATTATCTCCTTGCACTTTAGAAGAGGATATTTGTAGCTCAGTGTTGAACTTTGGGTCCTTGTGCTCTCTGAGCTTGATGGTTTTCTTGCAGATAACTAGATAACATCAATGCTAGAAAGTAGTAGGGTTTGCTCTTATTTTAGTGGATTGCCCTGTCAGTGTTAGTGGGAGTGTTCTTGATGATTCCTTGATTAGGCTATTATTAGTTTTTTTGTTAATAGTTCCTTGATTAGGTTATTTACTTGATTGTCTGGTATTAATTTAGGGAGTTAATCTCTGTTCATATGGGTATTGATTGCTGATGAGGAGGTATTTGGAGCTTTTTATTTCCTTTTGGGCTTTTTGATTGTCACTTTTGAGTTGTTTATCTCTATATGCCTGTGTGGGTGATTGATTTGTCCAGGTGCCAAGTCTCGAGGAATTATTTGACATTTTTAGACTTGGCTTGATCTAGGATACTCAATTTCTCAGATTAAACTATGGTTGAGTCTGTCCATGTGTTGTGATATTAAGGAGTTTTCATAATGACATCTGCTAGTTGGTGTTCATAAATGTGCTCTGCTAATCTTCTGCCTATTGGTTCTACATAGTGGCTGTTATAGTCCTTACACTGTAGATCAGGGGTAGGCAACCCAAAACACTCAAAGAGCCACTTGGACCCGTTTCCCACCAAAAACAAAACACCGGGAGCTGCAAAACCCTTTTATTTTATTTATTTATTTATTTATGAGACTTATATACCGCTTTAAGTGCAAGCACTCTCTAAGCGGTGTACACCAGTAAGCAATGTATATATATATTTACATTGCCCCCAACAATCTGGGTCCTCATTTTACCTACCCGGAAGGATGGAATGCTGAGTCAACTTTGAGCCGGTGAGATTTGAACCGCTGACCTGCTGAACACAGTCAGCTAAAGTGGCCTGCAGTACTGCACTCTAACTGCTGCGCCACCTTGGCTCATATATCCTTTTTTACCTTTATTATAGGTGTGTGTATGTATATGTGTGTGTGTGTGTATATATATACACACACACACACACACACAGAGAGAGAGAGAGAGAGAGAGAGAGAGAGACATATACACATTAAAAATAAAAGTAAAAATATGACTCTTGGGAATATCCATACTATTAAAACAATGATCACCAAGAGAATGCTTTAAGAGAATAAAATTACATACACACACAGGTAAAAAAAGGATATATGCAGTGTTATCTTCATTTTAGACGTCAAAAGGGTCTCTCTCTCCCTCCCTCTCTATTTGCCCTTGGTCTGCCACTCCTCTTCCCCACTCTCTCTCTCCCCCCCCCTCTCTCTTTCTCTCTCTCTCTTTCTCCCCCCCTCTCCTATCTGCTGCTCACCTGGCAAGCTTCAAGCTGTTGTCCAACAACCTCCGGGGTAGGCAACCTCGTCTCTTTTATGACTCATGGACTTCAACTCCCAGAATTCCTGAGTCAGCCTAACTGGGCTAGCTAGCTCTCTCCTGCCCTTCCTGCTTTCTGCTTCCTTCAGAGACGCAGCAAAGGGAGGAGCTCCGCCCAGAAAGCTTTTCAGCTCCTCGGAGAACACTGTGAGTGCACTCTCTTTTACACATACACCCACACACACACAAAACACACACACACACACACAGAGAGAGAGACATACACACACAGAGAGAGAGAGAAGCAGGGACGTGCAATTGCCTCTCTCTGTCTCTGTCTCTCTCTGCAAAGGCAGAGGAGGCTGGGAGCCACAGGGGAAGGCTCAAAGAGCCGCATGCGGCTCCGGAGCCGCAGGTTGCCGACCTGTGCTGTAGATCATAAATGACTCCTGTTTTTTTTCCTTCTGGGGCTGCTGGGTCTTTGGATTTACTCAGGAGGGCTCCTTGTACTTCCTCGGAAGAGGTGCTAGCCAAGAGGTCATAGGCATAATGATGCTTTATTTTTTCCATCTCCAAGTAGATGCTGAGAATGTGTACATTTGCTAAACAATGCAGCAAATGTTTCTTTAGGAATAAGACCCGATTGTTGAATTTTTTTTAAAAAAACATAGTTATAATCCACTGCACATTTATGTAAGAATAATTAATTTTAGGTGCCATAACTCATGTATCTTTCTTGTTTTGGTTCTTAAAGTTGAACACTTCTGCTCTTGAAAGTTTGTTTAGTAATATTGTCATAATATTGTCAAACTTCAGTGATCACTAGAGGTTGAAAACTACTTGATGGAACATAATCAAATCTAGATTCTGAAATCTAGATTGAATCTATCTAGATTCTTGGAATTTCAGTCTGTAGAGGAAACCTACAGCTGGGTGAAAAATAAAGTTTGCTGAAAATAGATTGAAGGGAAGAAAGAAGGATGTATATGTATGTACGCTCTTTCAGGTATTTTCGTATCGGGGCCTGTGTGGTTTTAGCCTCTCTTGATCCTGAGACATCTTAGGATTAATATTTATATTTGGAAAATGTCTCTGAATGATTGTCTTCCTTCTTTTTCAGTATTTGCATATGGTGCAACAGGAGCTGGTAAAACATATACCATGCTGGGATCAGAAAAGGAACCTGGTATCATGTACCTCACTATGAAAGAGCTGTATAAGAAAATAGAGGTTAAAAAGGAAGAGAAACTCTGTGAGGTGTTCATCTCCTATCAAGAGGTATTGTTCATCTCTAGGTATTTCTTCCAGAGAAATGCCATTCCATTTTGTTACATTTTCTGTCTTAATAAAATGGCAGTGTTCATGCCTTCTGTAAAGTGGTATTCTAGTTTAACACGTCTAGATATGCCCCAGTGGCATATATGCGCACATAACTATTAATTCAATGCAGGGAGGTGTTGCTTTTATTGGGGAGATGGTAGATGGGGAAATGGGTAGATGAATACTGCACTATCAGATATTCCAGTGTTGTATCTGAGATGCTGGTGGAAATAGTGACAGTGTTGGAAATGTCAAGAATGCACTTTTTTTTATTTATTCAAAAACTGGAGGGCAGAGTGTTTACAATAGCATGCTGGGCTTTATATATGTCCTGAAGATGCTGCCAATTTGCAGAATCATTTTTTTTTCCTTTTGAGTTCATGCAATATAATAATGTGCATAATGTCAGGACTGTGAAAATACTTCACTTGCCATTTCTGCCACATTTTAATTGTTATGTCTTTAGGAGAGTTACCAGAATCATTCATTTAAAAGTATTTAACTATGTATTTGGGATGATAAAATCTTTTATTTATTTATATGCCTACAAACCATTTTTATGAAAATAAACCACATACTTTTTATGGCATAAATCTATCACTGGATAATGTAAAAAGATCTTCTGTTTATGTAGAATGATTTACTCCACCTTGCCCAACAAAAGTCAGAGCTGAGGGACCATCTGTAACAAGGCATAGAGTACAAAAAGCCACAATATGTAGGAGTAATTGATGGAAACTAGGAGCCATCATCTTTTATGAATACAAATCCTTCTACCAATACAAAGGGTAGCCTTTTTAAAAGAAGTTTGACAACTGAATTTTTTTCTAAGTACATCAGTTTTTACTTACACACACACACACGCATGTTTTTGCACCTCTCTGCACAGTTATAACTACAATCCTAAGCAAATCCATGAGTAAATCCAATAGAAAGATTGCATTTTATACACATTCTAAAATTGGAAGCAGTCATTTTCAGTCAAAGCCTATTAGGGTTCATTGCCTATTTAAGGAAAAGGTTGAAAAACTAAAAATAAATTTGGCTGCCACGTTAATAGAATGCCCAATGAAAATACTCAGTTCTGGGTTTGCAGTGTCAATATATAAAAAGAAATTTGTTAGAATATAGTTATTTGGGGATGTACTTTTTCCTCAATAAGTAATCAGCTTTAGATTTTTAGGTGCCTGCTTGCACCTAAAGATGTTGCATTTTCCTCAGTGCTCAACTGTGTAGTTTCCCCAAACACTAATTACCTATTTTATTTTTCATGGGTTTAAGAAGCAGAGTAATTGACAAATTTCTGGTTCTTTGGATTTAGAAAAGATTGTGCCCCTGGCTTCTGATGAAAATCTGAACTTTGAGACATCCAAAGCAATCAGTTTTTGTCTTAAAAAAACAAAGATTGACTAATGACTTTTGCTTCTAGGTATATAATGAGCAGATTTATGACCTTTTGGAACCAAAGGGTCCACTAGCTATCTGGGAAGATCCAGAGAAAGGTATCTTGGTGCAAGGTCTTTCAGTTCATAAGGTAAGTGTGATATTTACACTTTATGAACTTCAAGGATAACATGCATTTTATGAGTGAATAGTTATTTTCAATTATTCATATAATGTTGATATATCTTCAGCCCTATATAAATTGCTATACAGACTACAGTGATTTGATGTTTCCTCATTGTGGTTAAGGAAAGTCATGAAGAAAGGGCCAGACAAAATCAGATAGAAGTAAAGAAGTAGATAAGCAAAGCTGAAAGGAGGAGGGAAATAAGCAAAAGTTTGAAGAAGGGTTTTGTGAATAAGGATGGGCAGAGAAAAAAGAAGGAGTTAGGGTGTACCTAATATTAATTTCCACATGGCTGACCAGAGAGAGTCAGCCAGAAAGTGTTGCTATAGTTTTTTACTGTGCCTCTTGCATGTGGAATTTGATGCTTGATAATAAAATCAATAGCCCAGTTGCTGCAGATTTTTTTTCCAGTTCTCATTGGCTAAGAACTATTAGGTCTTCCTTTGAATAAGATTTTGATGCTCCTTAGATTTTATCCTTCCAAATGACAAGTTGCAGCAATATACAGCTTGCTTATTACATTCAGCAAAATGGAATCAGAACTATTCTGAACACTTGTCATGTATTGGTCATATAAGGAAGTCTATGGGCTATTTCCAAAAAGATCTGTGTATATCCTTTTGTGGAGATAAATATTTAGGAAGCCTTTTTGTAGAGGTTGTAGCTGCAAAGAGTGTCTTACCAAATCTTTCTTCCCCTTCATCCCTTTAGCCAAAATCTGCTATGCAGGTTCTAGAGATGCTAAAGCAAGGAAATCTGAACCGTACACAGCACCCCACAGACATGAATGCCACTTCTTCACGATCTCATGCAATTTTTCAGGTAAGCAAGTAGGGTTCATCAGAAATGCTTAATAGCTTCTTATAAGACATTGTAATTAGGGAAAAAATCTTCATTAGTATCATTAATCCATCAATCACATTTTCTCCTTCAAGAACATCATTAGATAAGATCTTCTCCGAGCATGTGAATTCTTGGAGGCTTCAAACTAGGTATTATTGGAAGTAGAGTGCTGGATGAGATAAATTCTTAAATGTGTAGTTCTACTTCCTTCTTTTTCTATTGAAAGGGAGAAGATTTTTTTTTCATGTATACCCTTTACTTATTTTATGGGACTCAGTATTTGATTAGCCAAAGGTAGGAAAGTGAATATCTACTTTCCTTTGAGCTAATGACAAAGGTAATTACATTGATTGGTTGTGCTTGAAAATGATGGAGCACCTCTGAATTTTTTATAGTGTCTTGCCTTTTTGCTGAAGCAGAAGCACATATTTTTGGTGATCCACTTTCTCTTTCCAAAAAGGTTAGTTTAAAGTACACAAATATGAGAAATACATGTCATTACCTAGAGTTTTACTGATATATTGGAGTGGCCCCTGAATGGAAAATAGCAAACATAGAACAAACCACAAAATCCACAGTCAGGCAGTGTCTTTATTGCTAGCAATGAACACATCCATTACATAGAGAATAATTTTTCAGGTTTTGCAGAACTGAATAGTTCAAAATATATAAGAGTGAAGGAAAGAGGAAAGACAAATCAGAACAAAAATTCTGCCTAGACAGCCTATGGGGTAACAGATGTCACTGCCAGATCACTGCCTCACATTCATAGAAGGAAAGAGGAAGGACAAATCAACAAAAATGAGGAAAGATGTTATAGCATCTTCGATTAATGATTCAGTCCAATTTTCTTGAGACTTGTCTGTTCTTTAGACAATCCATCATCTGGTATCTTTACCAAACTCTGCAATTCTTTGCAGATCTGTGTGAAGCAGCAAAATCTTGTGGCGTGCATAGATCAGGATCAGCTAGTGGCAAAGAGCCTGGTTGATTTGGCTGGCTCTGAACGTGCCTCTGCTGCCAATACCAAAGGAGAACGATTCCGTGTGGGTGCCAACATCAACCAATCCCTACTGGCTCTCATTAATGTTATTAATGGGCTGGCAGATGCCAAGGTAAATTATCTCTTACTCCTCAACTACTGCTATTTTGTCTGACTACATTTAGAGTATAGGGATTTCTTTGCTCTGTATTTTTAATTCTAAATTTACACCTAATTATTCTCTGTCAAATCAGATCAATTATCAATTATTATGGCCTTTAAGCCAGCTATAAGATGGAGAAGAATGGGATAATGAAATAGTGGAGCTCTGATCACAACATTACAGCCATTTTGACTTTTTAATCATGCCCTGGAATCACGTCTGACAGCGAGATACATTGAAAAAGCATCTCTGTTTGCTATATTTCCTCCATATAGATATCCTTCCAATGTTTCCATTATTACATTATAAATGTGCAACAGCTATATTCTTTAAGGAATGCATATGATCCACTTTTATGAAATAATGTTACTAAACTAACATCTGTAATCCTTGATAGTTTCTTATGCTATAAATCAATAAAGATAGGGCAAGAATCTTAAGCTTCAACTCTGGGAAGGATTTTTCTTCTCCACAATGACAGATGATACTGTAATCCTATAATGGCATGGAAGAGCCAGTTTGATGTAGTGGTTAAGATGCTCCCCTAGAAATCAGAGTTCTAATTCTGGCTTAAACATGAAAGCTGGGTGGGTGACTCTGGGCCTGTCACTCTTTTTCAGCCCAAAACTCACAGGATTGTTGTGAGGAAAATACAAGAAAGAAGTATTGTTTGTTCACCAATAATAAAGGCAGGGTTAAATCAAATAAATAGGGTTCTGAAATAAACAGCACTGCATATTTCAGATATACAATTCATTGTATTCATTGGCCTTAGACACAATAGGAATAGTAGTTGTTTTATTTTGACTTTAGAAGTGCTATTAACTCAAATTAAAGCTAACTAAGAGATAAAACCCCTTTATGGATTACTGCCTTGTCGTGGCGAAGGGGCTTGCGTAACTCAATGAAGCTATAAGCTATGCCGTGCAGGGCCACCCAAGACGGACAGGTTATAGCAGAGAGTTCTGACAAAATGTGATCCACGGGAGAAGGAAATGGCAAACCACTCCAGTATCTTTGCCATGAAAACCCCATGGACAGTACTAAAAGGAAAAAAGATATGACGCTGGAAGATGAGCCCCTCAGGTCGGAAGGTGTCCAATATGCTACTGGGGAAGAGCAGAGGGCTAGTACTAGTAGCGCCAGAAAGAATGAAGCAACTGGGCCAAAGCCGAAAGGATGCTCAGCTGTGGATATATCTGGTGGTGAAAGGAAAGTCCGATGCTGTAAAGATTTTTTCTCCATAGGAACCTGGAATGTGAGATCCATGAATCAAGGCAAGCTAGACGTAGTCAAAAAAGAGATGACAAGACTGAACATCGACATCTTAGGAATCAGCAAACTAAAATGGACAGGAATGGGTGAATTTAACTCAGATGACCATCAGGTATACTACTGTGGGCAAGAATCCCTCAGAAGAAATGGAGTAGCCTTCACAATCAATAAAAGAATAGGAAAAGCAATACTGGGATACAATCCCCAAAATGACAGAATGATCTCAATTCGAATCCAAGGCAAACCATTCAATATCACAATAGTCCAAATCTATGCCCCAACCACTGGTGCTGAAGAGGATGAAATTGATCAGTTTTTTGAAGCCCTACAGCACCTTATAGAATTAACACCAAAAAATGATGTCCTTATCATCATGGGGCATTGGAATGCTAAGGTAGGAAGCCAAAAGATAACCGGAATAACAGGCAAGTTTGGCCTTGGAGTACAAAATGAAGCAGGGCACAGGCTAATAGAATTTTGTCAAGAGAATACGATGGTCATAACAAACACTCTTTTCCAACAACCCAAGAGACGGCTCTACACATGGACATCACCAGACGGTCAAAATAGAAATCAGATTGACTATGTGCTCTGCAGCCAAAGATGGAGAAGCTCTATACAGTCAGTAAAAACAAGACCAGGAGCTGACTGTGGCTCAGATCATGAGCTTCTCGTTGCAAAATTTAGGCTTAACTTGAAAAAAGTAGGGAAAAGCACTAGGCCACTCAGGTATGAACTAAATCATATTCCTGATGAATATACAGTAGAGGTGACAAATAGATTTAAGGAATTAGATCTGATAGACAGAGTGCCTGAAGAACTATGGATGGAAGTTCGCAACATTGTACAAGAGGTAGCAACTAAAACAATCCCAAAGAAAAAGAAATGCGAGAAAGCAAAATGGCTGTCTGAGGAAGCTTTGCAAATAGCTGAGGAAAGAAGGGAAGCGAAAGGCAAGAGAGAAAGAAAAGATACACCCAACTGAATGCAGAATTCCAGAGAGTAGCTAGAAGAGATAAGAATGCCTTCTTAAATGAACAGTGCAAAGAAATAGAAGAAAACAACAGAATAGGGAGGACCAGAGATCTCTTCAAGAAAATTGGAGATATGAAGGGAACATTTCATGCAAAGATGGGCATGATAAAGGATCAAAATGGCAGAGACCTAACAGAGGCAGAAGAGATGGCAAAACTACACAGAAGAACTATACAAGAATGAGCTTAACATCCCAGATAACCACAATGAGATGGTCACTGACCTCGAACCAGACATCCTAGAATGTGAAGTGAAATGGGCCTTAGAAAATCTGAGCAACAACAAAGCTAGTGGAGGTGACAGTATTCCAGCTGAGCTATTCAAAATCTTAAAAGACGATGCAGTAAAAGTGCTACACTCAATTTGCCAGCAAATTTGGAAAACTCAACAGTGGCCACAGGATTGGAAAAGGTCAATTTACATTCCAATTCCAAAAAAGGCAACGCCAAAGAATGTTCAAACTATCGCACCATTGCACTCATTTCACATGCTAGTAAAGTTATGCTTAAAATCCTACAAGCTAGACTCCAGCAGTATGTAGATCGAGAACTACCAGAAGTACAGGCAGGATTTCGAAGAGGCAGAGGAACTAGAGATCAAATTGCCAACATACGCTGGATCATGGAGAAAGCTAGGAAGTTCCAGAAAAACTTCTGCTTCATTGACTATGCTAAAGCCTTTGATTGTGTGGATCACAACAAATTGTGGCAAGTTCTTAAAGAGATGGGAGTACCAGACCATCTCATTTGTCTCTTGAGAAACTTATATGCAGGTCAAGAAGCAACAGTGAGAATTGGTCACGGAACCACTGATTGGTTCAAAATTGGAAGAGGAGTCCGGCAAGGCTGTATACTGTCGCCCTGCCTATTTAACTTATATGCAGAGCACATCATGAGAAAGGCAGGGCTAGATGAATCAAAAGTTGGAATTAAGATTGCCGGGAGAAATATCAACAACCTAAGATATGCAGATGATACCACTCTAATGGCAGAAAGTGAAGAGGAACTAAAGAGCCTCTTGATGCGGGTGAAGAAGGAGAGTGCAAAAGTTGGCTTGAAACTCAACATTAAGAAAACCAAAATCATGGCATCCGGCCCTCTCAATTCCTGGCAAATAGATGGGGAAGAAATGGAGGTAGTGACAGATTTTATTTTTCTGGGCTCCAAGATCACCTCAGATGGGGACTGCAGCCAAGAAATTAAAGACGCTTGCTCCTGGGGAGGAAAGCTATGGCAAATCTAGACAGCATACTAAAAAGCAGAGACATCACCCTGCCAACAAAAGTGCGTATAGTCCAGGCCATGGTTTTCCCAGTTGCAATGTATGGCTGTGAAAGTTGGACCATAAGAAAGGCTGAGCGCCAAAGAATTGAGGCCTTTGAACTATGGGCTGGAGAAGACTCCTGCGAGTCCCTTGGACTGCAAGGCGTTCAAACCGGTCAGTCCTAGAAGAGATCAACCCCGACTGCTCTTTAGAAGGCCAGATCCTGAAGTTGAAACTCAAATACTTTGGCCACCTAATGAGAAGGAAGGACTCACTGGAAAAGAGCCTAATGCTGGGAAAGATTGAGGGCAATAGAAGAAGGGGACGACAGAGAATGAGATGGCTGGATGGAGTCACTGAAGCAGTAGGTGTGAACTTAAATGGAGTCCAGAAGATGGTAGAGGACAGGAAGACCTGGAGGAACGTTGTCCATGGGGTCGCGATGGGTCGGACACGACTTCGCAATTAACAACAAAAGAGATAAAAGGGGTACAAGTTAAGACAGAAGAATATAAGACACGCATTTGTGGACGATTTGGTCTTTTTTATTGAGGAACCAATAGAGGGAAATAGTTTGATGAACGAAATAGAAAAATACGGAATAGTGACAGGATTAAAAATTAATAGAGAAAAGACCAAAATGTTAGTCAAAATCCTAACCGAAAAACAGAAAAGGAAATTAGAAGAGAATCTGGAATTGCAAATTGTAAAAAAGATCAAATCTCTAGGAATTTGGCTTACCACAAGGTGTTCCTCAATAAAAAGAGGATAACTGTAAAAAATTGATATTACAAATGAAAAAAGATTTTGAGACCTGGGGGAAATTACAATTATCATTATTAGGTAGGATTGCGTTGATTAAAATGAGTATATTACCAAGATTATTATATTTATTCCAAACAGTCCCGATAAAATTAGAGAAATTTTTTTTGAAGAATTGGACAAAATAATAAACAAATTTATTTGGTCGGGCAAAAAAGCACGGATAAACATGAAAATATTACAAGATAGTAGAAGTAGAGGTCGACTTGGGCTCCCAAAATGGGAAATTTACTATCAAGCTGGACTACTCTGGATCAAGGATTGGATAAACCTAGACAATAAAAGGGTTTTAATGATCGAAGGGCATGACTTACAGGTTGGCTGGCATGCCTTTTTATGGGGAAAATATAAGAAAACACATATTTTTATCAACATCAGATAAGAGATGCGCTGATTTGGACGTGGGAAAAAGTTAAAAAAAGACACTATAGGAAAATCCCAAATTGGATTTCACCGATGGAGGCAATGATCCACCCTAACACCTTGGATTAAAAAAAAGATGATTAGATACAAAGAACTATTAGATAACTAAGGAAACCTCAAATTAAGAGAAAAATTAGAAGAACAAGGAATAATCATAGATTGGTGACCATACTTACAGATCCAGTCTAAACACAGTAAGGATATGGAAGAGCACGGAATAAGCCAGACCCCACATCAATTGGATAAAATTTTAACAGGTAAGGAAGGAAAATTTTTAACAAAAACCTATAAATATTTATTAGAGGTAGATTTGGAGGAAGAAATAGTGAAAAGGCCAATGATAGCACGGGCACGAAATGTGGGCTGAAATATAAAACTGGAAGAATGGGAAAGATTATGGAACACAAATTGTAAACTGACATTGTCAACTGCATACAGGGAAAATCAATACAAAATGTTCTATAGATGGCATTTAACACCAGCGAGATTGGCCAAAATGTACAAAAATATGAATCCGTAATATTGGAAATGTAAAAATAAAGAAGGACATTCTATCACATGTGGTGGCTGTGCCCTAAAGCAAAGACCTATTGGGAACGGATAAGGAACTGGATAAAGGAGATAACTAAGGTGCAAATTGAACTCAAACCTGAACTATTTCTTTTGGGTATAATAAATTTAAAGATGGAAAAACAACTCCAATACATCATTATACATATATTAACAGCAGCCCGCATAGTATATGCCCAGTGTTGGAAGGGTGAAAACATACCTACAAACGATATGATTATATACAAAATTCTAGAATGCACGGAAATGAACAAACTTACACTAGAATTAAAAGAGAAGGAGGCAACAGAATTTTATGAAATATGGAATAAATGTTATGATTGGCTAGAACAGAGAAAGAAAAAGATATGATTATTGATGTAAATAGATTGTAAATAATATATATGAGATGTATATATAAGTTCTGTTAAGGGAAAAATGTATTTTTTATTTTTGTTGTATAGTGAAAAAGGAATAAATAAAAATTATTTTAAAAAAAGGAATAGTAGTTGTAATGGCAGAAGAATTATATGAAAGAGTTGTTTCTTATAGAATCTAAATCCTCCATTATTTTTGTTGATCCATAGAGTAAAAAAGCCCACATTCCATACCGGGACAGCAAGCTAACGCACCTCCTAAAAGATTCTGTTGGTGGAAACTGTTGGACAATTATGATTGCAGCTATTAGCCCTTCAATACTTTCCTATGAGGACACATGCAACACACTCAAGTATGCAAACCGGGCTAAAGAAATCAAAGTTTTAGTAGGTATCAAAAATTGCATTTGTAGCTTAATAATTTGCTTGAAAATTATTTTTTTACTTTTGCCTCTGGATAAATCTCTTAGCCATGTTATTATGCCCTAAAAGTGTATCTACTTAAGAGTTCTTGAAAACCTCAGAATAATATAAATCTTCAACTTATGGACCTCAGAAAATATTAGTTAATATTTCCCATAATTCTACAATTCTAGGTTAAAAAAAACCTTTAGGAATGTGTCTAAAGCATTTCCTCTCTGTAGCCCCCAGTACTGGTAGTCCTCGACTTATGACAGTTCATTTAGTGACCATTCAAAATTACAATAGCACTGAAAAAAGTGACTTATGACTATTTTTCAGTTACAACCTTAGTAGCATCCTTATGATCATGTGATCAAAATTCAGATTCTTGATAACTGGTTCATATTTATGACCATTGTTGTATCCCAAGGTCATGTGATCACCTTTTGCAACCTTTTTACAAGCAAACTCAATGGGGAAGCCAGATTCACTTAACAATCAGATTACTAAATTATCAACTGCAGTGATTTATTCAACAACTATGGCAAGAAAGGTTGTAAAATGGGGCAAAACTCACATAAATATCTCACTTAACAATAGAAATTTTGGGCTCAATTGTGGTTGTAAATCAAGGACTACCTGTTATTCTGTTTGAGAAATCAGAAATTTCACTGGGAGTTTAAAGCTTTATTCTAAAGCATGAGGGTTAGAAACCTTTACTATAAGAACTTAGAATTTACAATCTATACAGGCTCCATAAAATACTTGAATTTATATTTTACTAGAAATTTATCAGAATACATTGAACTAAGTATATAGAGGCAATTTCATTAAATGTAACCTGATGGCAAAAATTTCCAGTAATTGTCAGACTAAAATTAATGTAATTTAATGTACTGTATTTTCTGGCATATACGACGACTCGGCGTGTAAGACGACCCCTGACTTCGGAGACGATTTGCATGCTTAGAAAGTTGTCTTATACGCTGGAAACTACTGTATTTTCCAGCGTATAAGACAACTTAGCGTATAAGACGACCCCCGACTTCAGAGACAATTTGCATGCTTTAGAAAGTCGTCTTATACGCCGGAAAATACGATAATGTGATTTTAAATTAAAATAAAATTAGGATTAATGTATATTTTAAGAGGAATTCTAGTGTTCATTTTACATAGATAGACAAAAGAATGAAAAAAAAATATGGTAGACCAAAATCATTCAAATATACTGGGCAAACTGAACTTGCTATCTAACTTTAACCTATAAAATTTCCAATTGTGCCATTGGGCTGTTGATATCTATATTCTGGGTGAGAATTTTTCTGAGAATTTGGGGCTTATTGAGAGACAGTGTTTGTAATTTCTCTGAAATCTTAGCAAATTTTAGGGTCCAACTATGTTAAACAGAGATTTCCTTTCCCACCCTGAATACTGCTCAACATATTTAGTTCTTAATAAGTAAGCAAGTTTTTATCAAAAATCACATGAAAAAAAAAACATTTGAAAGAGTTGAAATCTGAAAATAGCATGGAAGATGTTCTGTTGGAATGCCTGGGCCAAACAGCAACACATTCCTTAAATCAGTTAATTCCTAATGGTTATTTTTAAATATTTTAAGATTTTTTTCTGATAATTTACCTGTAACATCTCTCTGACATCAAGGAATGGATTCTGGATATTACCTCTGTTACACATTTTTGAAAAACCTTTATGTTCCAAACCTAAGAAGATGAAATAATATGTTTCAGGTATGGTCTAGATTTAATGATAACCTTAAATACTGAATTAATTATATGGATACTACATGGATCTTTTTTCCCTTTTTTTCTTTTCTTTTAACCTTTTCTTTTCTCACCATATAAACACTATTGTATTTCTGTTGGTGTTATAGTTATTTGTATTCCATTCCGGCTAGAAATCTGTGTTTATAGATATGAAACTAATGGCATTTGGAGCCTAGATTTTTTTCCTATAACTTTTTGTAATTGTACAGTATTTGATGGTTCTAAGTCACTTCTTCTCCCAAGGAAAATTACTGGATGAAGTCAAGGGGGGCACCTGTTACAACAGTCTTTTCAGTATTGTACATCATGTTTACAAAATATATATATTATGAGAAATTGACAGAAAATTATATTGTTTCAGACTTTAGAATCTCTGATTTTGTATTTGAACTAATAATGATGTAAATATTTGGCATTCTTTTTGTACCAAAAATGAGACAAATTTTGTTCCACTGGCTTTTGACAATCTTCCATTTTCTTGGATATATTTTTGACAAATTCTATGCAAATTTAATGAATTTTATTTCTCATATAGGGGGTTATATTTAATAGATTCTGTTTCTTTTTCCAATATGCTGAAATTCATTAGATCAACTCTGGCAACACAGGCAATGAGGGACTTAAGCCTCGCATATTTTGGCTTGCTGATATATTTATGGATCTCTGATATTCTACAATATTTTCTACTTTATTGAAAATGTAGGGTGGGGTTCCAGTTTGTGATACAGTATTAATCATAGTATGTAAGCCTTCTTGCAGTCCTTATGATAAACATTTTTTGCTTTCTATTCTTTGCCCTGGTATACAGATAAAACCTAATGTGGTGAGACTAAACCACTCTAGCAGCATATATGCAGCTATTTGTGAGCAACTAAAGATAGAGGTAAGGGGTTCTGACATTATGTCTCAAGCCCAAAATATTTTTATTGGGGTGAGAAGTCAACGAAAGGCAAGAATTCCATGCAATAGAATAAGATACAGTATTTTGTTTGATTTGTCTGACCCAATGCACAATTAAGGCAATCTTAGCTGTTGATGCGTCTATCAGAAATTCTGAGTATATTGACTGTTTAGGAAAATGTCACTAGGTAATCCATACCTAGCATCTCCGGACAAGACTGAAAAAGATTCTTTACCTGCAAATCCTTTGGAGAATAGCAGCATAGGGCATACTATAATAAGTAAGCCCTGAACTTTTGAAGCAGCTTTTCAGGGTAGAGCACAGGTCGGTAACCTGTGGCTCCGGAGCCTCATGCGGCTCTTTGAGCCTTCCCCTGTGGCTCCCAGCCTCCTCTGCCTTTGCAGAGAGAAACAGAGAGAGGCAATTGCACTTCCCTGCTTCTCTCTCTCTCTCTCTCTCTCTCTCTCTCTCTCTCTCTCTCTCTCTCTCTCTCTCTCTCTCTCTCTCTCTCTCTCAGTGTGTGTTTGTGTGGGGTTTTTGTGTGTGTGTGTGTATGTGTAAAAGAGAGTGCACTCACAGCGTTTTCCGAGGAGCTGAAAAGCTTACTGGGCGGAGCTCCTCCCTTTGCTGCGTCTCTGCAGGAAGGGCAGGAGAGAGCTAGCTAGCCCAGCTAGGCTGACTCAGGAATTCTGGGAGTTGAAATCCATGAGTCATAAAAGAGACGAGGTTGCCCACCCCTGAGCTTGTTGGACAACAGCTTGAAGCTTGCCAAGTGAGCAGCAGATAGGGGGGGGGGAGAAAGAGAGAGAGAGAGGGAGGGAGAGGGAGAGAGAGAGTGGGGGAAGAGGAGTGGCAGACCAAGGGTAGATAGAGAGGGAGGAAGGGAGAGAGACAGAGAGAGAGAGACCCTTTTGACATCTAAAATGAAGATAACACTGCATATATCCTTTTTTTACCTGTGTGTGTATGTAATTTTATTCTCTTAATGCATTCTCTTGGTGATCATTGTTTTAATAGTATGGATATTCCCAAGAGTCATATTTTTACTTTTATTTTTAATGTGTATATGTGTGTGTGTGTGTGTATACGTACATACACACACACACATCTATAATAAAGGTAAAAAAGGATATATGCAGTGTTATCTTCATTTTAGATATCAAAAGGGTTTTGCGGCTCCCAGTGTTTTGTTTTTGGTGGGAAACGGGTCCAAGTGGCTCTTTGAGTGTTTTGGGTTGCCTACCCCTGGGGTAGAGGATTCTGCTCATTGTGAGGCATGTTGGGAATGCAAGGTAAAGACACAATCTTGCTGTTAATGTAGTATTCTAAGTGTGCTGTAGTAAATGAGCCGAGGTGGCGCAGCAGTTAGAGTGCAGTACTGCAGGCCACTTTAGCTGACTGTTCAGCAGGTCAGCGGTTCAAATCTCACCCGCTCAAGGTTGATTCAGCCTTCCATCCTTCCGGGGTAGGTAAAATGAGGACCCAGATTGTTGGGGGCAATGTAAATATACATATATACATTGCTTACTGATGTACACCGCTTAGAGAGTGCTTGCACTTAAAGCGATATATAAGTCTTATAAATAAATAAATATCAGTACAAGGCTGTCTGGTTTGGTAGAGTATTTGATGATTCTTGTTACTGGCCTCAAGTTAATGCCTAAGGGGATTGAGAACAATGTTATTCATTAACCTTTATCACAGAGGGTTATTTCAGTCAGGGCAACACATCTCTAATGTGGATAATCTAATTTGTCTTAGGTAACTTTAGATTTACCCAAAATAAGCATGCCATTTTGTCCCTTTCAGGTGGCAGACTTAAGAGGGAGGCTCCGAGCTTATGAAGAAAAAATGCCAGAGCTTAAATTCTTCCCTGCTTTGGCTCCTTGTACTTCTGAGCAGATGGAGCTCTTCAGGTGGTCCATTACCTCTAAAGCAAAGTTCCCCAACCTTTCCGGCTTTGCAAACTGGCAGGGGAAGAGGGGGATGGTTTTATGCAAGCAGTGGGCACAGGCTTGCCTGCTGCTTCCGCAAGTAGGGATGTGCACACGCATACATGCCTGCCACTTCCGCAGCCTGATTCTGAAAGGCTCAAGGTCCAGTAGCGGGCCACGGTCCAGGGTTGGGGACCTCTGCTGTAAGGGGAGAAAAGGTAGCAGATGGGCAATATGTCAGTAAATATGATCTTTTCTGCATGAGACAATACCTTTTATTTTTATCTTCTGGGTTCCAAACTGAAATGCCAAACTCTTTATCTCTTCTTTTTACTTCACTTCCTTAAAAAGAAACAAATATCTTATTCCTATTCAGGGACAAATTCTTATATTTCATTTATAGCAATGAAAGCTATTTTAAAAAAATATCCTCCATGGTTCTAAATATTGTAAAATCTGTTTTGAGAGCAATATTGTTCATACATTCAATAGTTCCCGATTCTTTGGCATAAAGAGAGAAGTATAAATAAATATTTAATATTGCCTAAGGTGGGAATAGAAGGAGATAGTGAAGCAGTAGTATATCTAAGAAATTGGAACTTTGAAGGAAGATTTTTTTTTTCTACCATGCAATTTTTTTTCTAGCATATTATGTTCCAGATGCTTTTGGCAGGCCGCTGCCTCTTAGATTCTCTCCCATTTGCAATATGGGGATGATAATTTTGACTATCTCTTCACAGATTGGAAGTGCTTTGAAAACAGTATTGCTATAGAAATATTAAGCAATAAAATATAACAGGAGAATACTGAATAGGAACCTTATTTAATAGTTTGAGGGATTACCTCACCCCAATTAAAATATATGTGATATCTCACACTTTGTTAATATATTTGGGCCTGGATTTCATTAGCAAACCTTCAAACTGAACAAATTTGTGCCTTGAAGAGGGGAATGGGCAAATTGGACTGGAATGTTTTTGATTCTGTTCAAGCTGATGTTAAAATAAATTTTTATCCTTGCTTTGGACATAGGTCAGAAGAGATTATTTTGGATAATGGAGTGTTGCAAAAAACTGATTCCACAGAAATGGGATCCTCCCAGTTTTTGAAACAAAATTGCTCAAGAAAAAGCCACACGAAGGAGGTAAGAGCACGAGAAAGGAGTCTAAGTCAAAGTTGTCCAGCACATAGATAATTTCTCTCAAGGTTTTTGCAAGAATTACTTAGCATTAATTTGTTCTTTCATCCAAGCAGGATTCTGTGTGCCTAGTGTGTAAATGAATCCTATGAACATTTCTAAACTAACACCCGGCAGCAATTGCTCCTTCCTTCCTCACCCTGAAGAGGTGAGAACTTAAGTTAATTCACATGGAAGGAAAATCTGAAATGCTGAGTTTGATTAATTTTCTGCATTTCTCAAGAAAGAAGAAACTGAGTGTCAATGAGAGGGCATTAATTGAATATACAATATAGCATCATAGTGAAGTTTTTTCTCTCGTTAAGTTGTGCTATCAGTTGTTTCAATTGAGTGCAGTTGCTAAAGTCCTTGATTCACAAACTTGCCTCTGCATATAGATTGCATCATAGAATATTTAAGGGATAATATAAAATTACTGCATTATAATTATAAATGATACATCTGTAGGGAGAATGTGGCCATTTTGTTTAGTGGAAGGAAGTAGGATTCATCATAGTTTGGTCTCCTTCAGCTTATGTTCCCCGTGTTTACTTTTTCCCCAGTTTCTTCCATTGTGTGAGAGAGAGAAAGGCCAAAAGAAAGAAAAAGCTGGCTGTTTCCACTTCTAATTTTGATCTTGTCTTGCTGTCATTATATACAAAATAATTTGTTCTCAAGAACAACAAAAAACCTCTACTTCCCTTCAAGATACACTAGACCAGGGGTGTCAGATTGCGAGCCCGTGGTATCACATGGAAGCTGCGCCCACCCCATTGCCGGCAATGGCAAAACTATCCTGATAAGTTGCGCGACGTCACATGACGTCACGAGTTTGACATATCTGCACTAGACTAAATAACCCTTTGGTTTTGTATTTAGTGTCATGGAGAAACCCAACCACCATCTTAGCTGTTGAATGAACATAACTATTATGTTAAACCATTATGATTTATTTGTACATAGCACATGATATTAATAAAGCAATGGTATGCTGTTAAAGAAACTTCAGCCCATTTTGTGGTGCAGTATTTGAATTAAGTTTTTTTCTTGGCTTTCTGATTCTTACTTTTAACATCCCCATGATTATAACCACAGTGGCAGCAAAACACTTAATAGGCTTTTTCTTGCCAGCACTAGTTCTTCTTTTCTTCTCTTTCTTAAAGATGTATCTGTTCCCAGCCAAGTTGACTTATTTTCTTCATAAAACCTATATTACAATGTCAGCACCATTGATCTACAAATATTCCAAGCCCATTTCTATGTGTGCTTTCCATCAGGCAAACCTTTTTGATATCAAAGGCAATTCTCATGTTAACATGAAGGAAAGATAAAATTGGCAAAGATTTCTTGCCTTCTCTGTGCCCATCAGAAATCTCGAAAGAAGGTTGTGATTCTTAATGTGAGATGTGTTTTGAAGAAGGTTAAAAAAAGGTTTGCAGCATTTTTTGTAGAATTTGCAATCTTCTCTAAAGTATGATAATTGATTATTTTTTTCCCTTTTTTTTTCTTTCTTTTTTTGCCAGAGAGCTATGAACATTCACTTTTAAAATGGCAAATTGGTTTGTGGATGTCTGATCGGCATCTAGTGAGCTTTTCTTTCTCTTCAGAATTTAATGGATACTCTGACATCATAGCAGCTCAGCCAATTGTAAATTACAGTTTTGTAATTTACAATTATAATATAGATCCTGCAATCTTGTACCATTTTTTCTTGGATAAATTCAGGATGCAGAAAGAAAATTTGAGTGCTGCTGCCCAAAGTTTTCAAATCCAATTAAACATCAGGAAAAAGTGGAAACTCACTTGCAGGGCATGGACAAGAAACAATTGAAGAGGTGAGTTGGTATATTTCAGTTCAAAATGAAGGATGAGTAACTTTTTTTTAATCTGCCACTTTTGTACATATATAACAGATATATTGGACTCAAAGAAACACTGCAGATGCTTTTTTTAAAATTTCCCATACCCTACCTTTTTCTAGGGATTGAAAGGAAACAGAGACCAGCGCAGTCCATTCCACTGCATACATTTATTTAAACTTTTACAGACTTCTGATTTGCGTTCGTAGCGCATGGCCGTGCAAAAGCAGACCTCTGCTCCCCACGGCTAATTTCGCCGCTGGGGGACCCTAGATGGGTCCAAAGTTGCCCTGGAGAGGTGACACGTAGTGGCGGCAATCGCTTTGTTTGATCCAGGGAAAGCCCTCCCAACCTGACAGGAGAAAGGCTAGCCGCATGCCAGTGTCTAGCCCAAGCTACTGCAGCCGAAGTCCAAGAGCACTACCAAGAACAACAGTGAACAGCGTGCTTGGAACTGGTGAGAGTATTTGATCTTCTCTCCCTTATTTTACAACCAGTCCCTGGGAAAGATCCCCAAAGGAAGCAACCTCCGAAAGTGAGGGGAGAGGACTACATTCCCATTCCCCCATAGACGGAAGCAGTGAATTAACCTTTAAGGAGGAAAGAACCTTATTGAAATTAAATTCAAAATACTACAATCTGATCAAACTTAGAAATTAAAACAAATTGCTAAGATTATATTCTAAAAGATTTTGATTGAATTGCATAAAAAAATAATAAGAACTTTTTGTCTGAAAGAGCTGGAAAATAAATATTTGCTGACTTCTAGTGGACAATGAGAATATAACACATTAAAGATGCCAGTTCCCATGAACTCTAATAACCTTTAAGAAGATAGTTCCTAAGGAACAGAGAAGAGATTGCAAACTGGGCCAGCTATAAGATTGGAAAGTGTTTGAAGGAAAAAAAAATACTTTGATTGTGGTTTAAATTTATGAACTGTTTAAAAACTTTGATCTATGATAAATTACTGAGAAGGGAAGTTACAAAAGGATTTAAGCTGGTTAAATATATTGAATTGACAATTGACTCCTGAAAGAAAGAATTGTTATAAAACATTGATTTTACTAAAACCTTGACAACTGAAAATTACAGTGGATTACAAAAATTATATATAAAAACAAGAACTATACATAATTGGACTGTGTGGATTTTGAGTTTTGGTTAGCTTGACAAGGCTAATTACAGAGACTATGGCATTTATAACAGACTACTCAAAAGGAGGAGACAACATAGATATGACATGCTCATTAAAAAATGATAAAAAAACCACACTTAATATTTACTCTTGAAAGATTTAGCCTGAAAGATCAAAGACCTTTACAAACACTTAAAGACAAGAAAAATACTTTCCAAGACGAAATTTATGCAATGCTACAACAGATACAAACGACAACAGACTTAAACCACAAGGAGATAACTTTTGATACTGTAACTTATAACTTCTAACTTAAATCTACAATCAAAAAACATCCAAGGAATGATGGTAAAGAATGAACAAACAATCCAGACAACAGAATGTGAACTAGAAAAAAATGATTCAACTGGTGAAGTTACAAATGAAGGGAATTATAACTTAATACAAACAAGAAAAAACTTACAAGACTTGGATACAACAATAAATATGGGAAAGATACTTTATGCATTAGAACGTCAAAATAAACCTGAGAAGAAAGAAGACTTAACAAAATGGACACTGCTAGGAGAGTCATTGTTTGGGAGACAAAAAGCATACATCCTATCTACTATGTATCCTCTACTCCTAACAATAACTACAAAAATACAAGAACTGTTTGATGAAAATATTAATTTGGAAAACAATTTGGCAAAGGAAGATTAGAGACGGGCTGAAGATACTGGTTTCACCCTACCAGATGGAATATTATATGAGTAAACACTTGTTTGAATATGGCTAAATAAACAAATAACTTTGGCCATAAAGGGATTTTAGAATAAGTGGGATAAGAATATAGTATTTTTTTATAAGATACAAAATGTAAAAATATTAGAATGTTGTAAGTGAAGGAAAAGTTTGAATTTTAAAGACAAATTAATTTTGAAAAGATTTAGGATTAAGGAATGATTGAAATATTGAGGGGAAATTAGGCTTAATAAGAACTCTGAAAAAAGAATATATAGTGATTTAACTAATTTTTACAAATAGAAGTGAAATATAAATTGACTAGAAATATGTTATGATAGATAAGAAGTATAGTATTTCTATAATATATGAAAGATGAAAATACTAGGATGATATATTTAAATGGAAAATTTGGATATTTAGATGTTAAATACTGGGGGAAATATGATGAACAAGAATTGAATATTATGGAGAAATTGAGCTTAAACAAGATTTATGAAAATAAGATACATGGTGAATCAATAAGATGACTCTTATGAAAACAAGCTGATAAGAAAAAAAATGCTACATGTGGACACCACTATTGGTATAATTATAGAAGAAAATGTTTTTATTTAATCATTTAAATATGGAAAATTTCAAATATTAGAAAGTATTGTTTAATGTTGTAAAAAGAGAATACTACTAGGTAAAGAGAAGATCAAGGAAATATATTATAAATTGATATACTAATTATGGAAATATAAAAATTAATTATTATTGATTGTTTATTAACTATTATTAATTGTATATTCTTTTCTAAAAAAATTTATGAAACAAGACAACATGCTATATACATCAGGCACTAAGGCTGTTATTGTAAAAAACCAATAAAACTTTTACAAAAAAAATTAAATAAATAAACTTTTACATTTTAACTAGCTCTCTTGCAAATCTCATAGATCTATTTTATTTCAGACTTGTAATAGCTGTTCTGCTAGTAGCCCAAAGACAGTACAGTTGGTTGAAAATCACCAACCTACTTACTCCTGAAATGATAGCACAGTTTGAAGAGTTGACTTCCATACTTCATCAAGAGTCCCATGGAGCCCTGAACATTTCAGTTTTGGATGGACATGATGAAGAACCGGATGTGCAACAATTTATAAATTGCAATGATTCTTTGGGTAAAGTTCAGAGAAGGGTAAATATTGAAATACTAGACCAATTCAGGTCTAGTAAATGCCAACAATGTTTGTTATTGTTTGTTTCTTTATCATAGCTGTCCTCCCTGCGTCTCTTACTGCAACCAATCATGCCAGTCCTAAGGTCAATCCTGGAATACAACCTGTTGAACCAGAAGCTGAGCTGTTTCCACATGCTGACTTGAAGACCCTCCACCACTCAACACAGAAGAGGAAGGCATCGCAGTCTGAAAAAAGCATTTCATCTAGCCAAAGGGAGTGTGCAAAGCGCTGTCGGAAGGCTTGCCTCTCATCCCAGAAAGTGGATTCTCTGAAAGAATGGTCTGATTTTGCCCCAGTAGACTATACCAGCACACCTCTTGGAGTGAAAGCAAAATCTCTCAGACCAGTTGATCATCATACTCCATTATATTGCCCATCAACAGTTACTAAGAGTCGCATGCCCCTAGCTCCCCCAACCATTCAGAAATAGCAATATTATCTGGCTTTTAGCCTTGACGATGTTGGGAGTTCCCAACGAAAGCTTGGTGGTTTTAGTAAAGTATTGTTTATACTTAAATTCTCCTGGTGGTCGTATCTTATTTATTTTTATTATAAATATGCCCATGAGTCGCATCTTTACGGACATTATTAAAAGTTATCCTTTAAAATAAATATGAATATTTCCTATCTATGAAGCTTTCAGTGTAAAATTTGCTAGAGTCAATAAAAAGCACAAGTGATGCTGTGAATCATGAGTTAGCTGGCCAGTCAAGCCCCTTTTCTACATGGATGTGTCAATGCTGTTATTTTAGAGTTAGGATTTGGGCTAATTAAGAACCACGCTTTATGCTTCCTTAAAAGCCCCTTGTGGGCATGGAGAAAAAAGAACATGGAATATTTCACAAAGGTTATATTGCAAGCAATAGTGGTCTCTGGGATTGTGATAGCACGCCTCACAGAATTTTTCTCATTCTCACTCTCTTCTTATTAAATACAAATCAAGCAACTAAGGTAAGGAGATAAAATGAAAGAAGATAAAGGGCAATAATAAATGCCCCTGTTTTATAATCAGATCACACTTTTTTGCAAACTGTCCCAGACAATAGGAAACAGGTCGATGAAGAAATCAAGATGGAAATGGTTTGATGGAAAGATTATGTCTACAGCAAAGAAAACTGATTCAGATCGTTTGAAATAGTACTAGGTACCTCATGTGGCTCAATTAAATGTTTTTTAAACATGATTAGACAGATAATATTACTATTATCAACCTGTCAGAAGATTTACCAAAAACAGTTCATAGCATTTCTTGAATTTCAGTGCAGGATTTTTACCAAGAGTTTGCATAAGTCAAGGCTGGTCATGTTGGTTATTTGATGAAGGGAAACAAAAACAATTTGATAAACTTTATGTAACAAAATTAAAACAGCATAGAACGTAGTAGGAACTGCACTGTTCATTATTAGGGAAACAGTATGGATCAAAAACATACAGAAGCCACAAAATGGTGAGAAATATGGAAAAAAAGTGTGGGATGTTATATTACTTTACATCTTGCTCCAGGAGATTTAGCATGACATTTAGTATGAGTTGGCCAGCTTGATGACTGGGTTTAGGGGGGGGGGCGTTTCTTGAAGCTCTTAATAGCTTACTGTGACTATATTGCTTGTGACCACTTGGCCAAACTCAAACAGGGAAAACCAAGGCAAGGATAAGTTCATTATTTCATGAAGAGTCAGGATGAGTTTATTAAACTATGCACTAAATATTGTATAGAAAGCCATCTTAGCAGACAGAGAAGGCCTTTTATTCTATCTGTGATGTTACTCCTGATATTCTCCATCAAGAACAACATATATTGATATTCCAATTTGTAATTCACTACAAAAATTCCGGTACATTTAACATTAAACAAAGCTTTATTGAGTTTATCAGCTTTGATGTAAACACTGAAGAACAGATAGCTGAGATGCAAATTATTAGCCTGGAAAAAAAAAAGTAACATTCCTCTTGATTGCAGAGAGCAAAGTTTTGATAATGGCTTTAATCTCTCAGAGAAAATAAGTTCAAATATCAATTTATCTTACTTGTGCTTCTGATTCTCTACATCTTGTAAGTATTAATACTGCGCCAACCTATATTAAAATTTTCAACTATTTTGTTCATGGACAGCAACTTTTTTTTTGTTTTTATGGACTAGTTCTCTGAGATGAAGGAATAGAAGAGAAAAAATACACACAGTTCAGACATAGTAATCAACATGGGTCAATGTTATCCATCCACTCACAGAATCTTCTGGGTATTCCTCAAGCATTTGAATGTACTCTCAAATTAAACTTGACACTTGAAGTCAAATCCAGAAGCATTGAAAAGGCTTTGGCTAGTGTTCATGCCTTTTGTCAGCAAGCTTTTAGTACAAGGTGTTTCAGATACTGATGACAGAAGCAAGATTTTACAAGCAAGAGAAATCTGTTCTGAATCAAAAGTAGGTCTCATTGCACATATTATTGAAAACGTAATACAACAGAGATTGGTAGCCCAACATGTTTCAGGTAGCATATCTTGTAGTGGAAACTATGGGAATTTGGAAGTAATTAACTCAAGCAGAAAGTTGAAAAGAGTACATATTGATGCTAGTAAGATATGCTTTATCTTCTGATGAATTTTTATTCAGAATGATGAGTTTTTGATATTATCTGCAAATTGAAATGAGATTCAAAGCAACCAACATGTTTTGCATTCTATTCAGCTGTAAAATATGTGCAATTGAAACCTGAACAGGAAGAAGCTTCTACATCGTCTGCTTTTCAAACATCTGACATCTTTCTGAATATTTTTTTCTTGGGGAATGTTGCAACTGGAAAAAGGTAGTCCAATCTACTTGTGGGAAAAAGTAAAACTTGCCTCATTAATCTTATAAAAAAGATTTACAAAAACCCAAGTAGCCCATAAGTAATTTTTAACAGAAGGCATCTTTTGAATTGGGTAGATTTGGGCAATTGGGTAGATAGAGCAATTGCTTTAAATTGAATTGATCTATCAGTTTACTGCCATATTGGTCCATTAGAATATCAATAACAAAAACTATATCGATATTACTATTTTCAAAAGCAACAGTTAAAAAAGTTATACAATAGTCAGCAATGTATAAAGCAGAATCCTTTATGCACGAGACTATGTTTAAGGGATAGGGTACAAGCAATGATCAGTAATTTGTGGCAAATTTCTGAGCTCAGAAACAAAGGCAGCTATGATGCAGCTGATCCAATTACTTTTTACATCTTACAATAAAAAATAAATCTGCAAGGCAATTTAATCCCTTTCTCATGAAACAGACCTGTTTGCCCCATCCCTCCCCATCATGCTTAGACCGTGAGGGTAAGGCAACTATAGTATTTCCTTGAGAAAAAGGAAATGAAGACGTGAATGGCTAAGTAGTCTTACTAACACAAAAAAAATGTAAGATATTGCCATATTTAGTTTGCCATCCAAAAAACATGGACATGGACAATTGCTATTTATTGTCAAAATTGGAAATTAATTCAGGTAGCAAAATTTCATATTTCAATACGAAGAAAATTCAACCTGCTAGAACAGTGGTTCTCAACCTTTTTAATGCGACCCCCAACCAGACGTAAGTTGAGGACTAAACAACCGGTCATAAATCAAGGACTAAACCGGTCGTAAGTCGAGGACTTTCCCTGCCCGGAAGCACCGCGCATGCGTGGTGCCACCCCCTGCGCCGGCCGAGACATAGTTGGCAAGCAGCAGAGACGGAGCAGGCTGACCACCAGCTGGCCCAGCCCAAGGGAGGTAAGGCACCCGCCAGGCCCCAAGCACGCAAGCAACCTTCCCTGCACCTGCTGACCTCCCACCCCTGGCCCTCTTTTACTTACATTTTTAGTAGTTGCTCAGCAGGGAGGGGTGGAAACTTCCAGACAGCTCACCTTCACTGCAGAAAACTTGCAACACCATTTGCAGAATGGGACTTTTGGCTGGCTCAGCAGGGCAGAGACAGCCTGGACAATTTCTATTGGCTTTTGAAATTGGCTTTTGAAAGCCAATAGAATTAGACTCTATTCAAGAGAGTCTATTCTACTGGCTTTCAAAAGCCAATAGAATAAAAGGGAGTAGCACAGCTAAGAAAAAGGGGGGGAAAGTGGTGGACTGCGTTGTTTGGCGACCCACGTGAAATGGCCGTTCGACCCCAAATGGGGTTGCGACCCACAGGTTGGGAGCCGCTGTGCTAGAAGATTATTAAAGGTGTATTTAATGTACAAAATGTTTTTTTTTTTTGCTATCTTAAAAGCTCATAGTGGATCAAATTTGCTGACAAAATAAAATGCTCTGATTTAATTATGGAGAATCTAAAATTTGACTGTCTATATGAATATCCTAGGGAGAAACAAGTGTGAGGGGGGAGTTATAGAAATATTCAGTGGCATCCATGGAAAAGAGTCAGAACACTCAATATGGCAGCTGTATAAATGAAGCTCTGCTTTTAATTCACGGGTGTCAAACTCGCCGCCTCATATGACATGTCACGACGTATTGTGACTTTTTTCACATTGCCAGAACTGGGGTGGGTGCAGCCTCCAAATGATGCTGGCAGTTTGACACCCCAGTTTTAATTTCTTGTGTGATGTACATGCAAAGGTTATGGAGCAACTATCATGCAGTCATGGCCACTATCTTCACATTTTCAGCCACCCCAAGAGCCTTGGGGAGATCACAGAGCAATTTACTTCTCAGGGTTTACAATCCAGATACCCCAGCCAACACTTCTTTTTGTTTTGTCACAAATAGAAAACAAGGCTAACCCAGTGGTGGGATTCAGCTGGTTCACACCACTTCGGCAGAACCAGTAGCTAATTTTTTGTTGCCCAGGCCCTGAACGGACTTACAGAAGTGGCATCCACACAGAGAACTGGTTGTTCACATATTTGAATCCCACCACTGGGCCAACCTGATCAATAAGTAATGGTATTATTTTAGAACATAATTACAAGTTCTTTCTATTATTTTCCCAGAAGTTAGTCCTAGCATTATCAAGTATGATTAAATGATTGTTGTGGATTATTGTTGTTTTTCTTTGTTAGAATTAGAGAATAGGTCATGAGTTGTTTAAAAGAATGTTGGAACTTGAGAATTTACCAAATTCAGAACCAGGAAAGGTGTGGAGTCTTTTTTGAGGTGGGCAGTGGATAAAGATTTCTGGGTCTTTCCTAATAAAATGTAAGAATGAAACCAGGAAAAGAAAACATGAAAGCTGACAAGGATTGTGTGAAAAATGCTAACTCTGCCCCATATATACATGTGCAAAACCTTCTAATGATCAGTCTTTGCAGAATACTTTAGTCCTTCCAATTTATGATTTATTTATAGAAAAAAAATTCTGTTAAGTTAGGCCCTTGAGTTTACCAGCACTTTTTTGGCACAGACATGTAAAAAAAAAAGCTGTGCAGGAAAGTCCCCTATCTCTGCCACCCCAGCTCTATTTTAAAATCTGCTGGTTGTCCTAAGCCCTTTAAATAGTCTAATTCTCAGGGGTACTGGTTCATGATGCAATCTCTTCTG